GAATTGGACACCGTCAGAGTTGAGTACGGCCTTGCCGGCAAACTTGAGACTGCCAGTTTTGGTATCGACGAACTGAGAGAATTTGTCAAAGTGAGTTTCTTGTTTCTTCGGTTCTGCGCCTGCATCAGGTTCGGGTCCTCCGTTCATCTGCGAGAGGGTCAATCCGGGCTTCTTTTTGCCGGCGGGAGGAGCACCGCCTGCTGTTGGGGACGAGCCTGGCAATCCGCCTGGGAGTCCGCCTGGGAACCTCATGCCGCGCTTCTCTGCTATAGACTGCTTGGCAGGTGGTCCACGGCCAGGAACTGCTGGTGCCGATTGAAAGTTAGTCGCAGGCGGTCTCACAGGCATTCGGAAGTTGCTGGGTACACCTCCTGGGTGAGGACCCGGCGACATGGGGTTACGGCTGTCGGGAGATGGGCCAGGACTCTGAGGCGCAGGCCCTCTACCAGGCAGACCAGTCGGCGGAGCGCCCTTTCTGCCGAGATGCACTGCCTGTATCCTGGCAAGGATGTCTTGGGAGACATTGAGACCGCTGCCTCGGCTGGAGATGGTAGGAGGATTCGAAGGACGGGGATTCCTGGCAGCGTTGATGTTTCCGAGTGGAGTTGAGGAGGATGTCATGGTAGGTGTCGCGGCTGATGTCGTGGATGCAGTTCGGGGAGGAGGGCGCTCGGCAGCGGGTTCGTCAGGCGGGGTGGCATCGGCGGTAGGACTCGAGGGTGCAGGCGAGGGCGAGGGACTATCGAAGACGGTTTCGGCGTCGACTTCCGTGTCGGGGGTGGAGGGATTGGAGGCCATGGCGAAAGACAGATAAAAGTCGCGGCCTGATATTGGCGGGGTACTAGGGCGAGGAAGCGGAAGAGGGTAGGGAGATAGGAATAAAAGGCGCAGGTGTGAGGTGAGTTCAGAGGCTGCGATTACACCGCGGAGGGAGTGACGGCGGCGATCTCAGCGGATCTGGGAGTCTGGTGGAGGTGTCGTGGTTGTGGGTTGTCTGGTAGCGTGCAAGTTGGAGCTGTGACGTGATGCTGCAGAGACGACAGAGTAGCGCGCAACTACTGGTGCTGCTGCAATCTGGAATGATTTCACAATGATGGGTCTGGCCACACGGTAACCACCATGGCGTACAGCGGAGATGCAGCTGGCAAAAGGGGCTCCCGCGATATTTCTAGTGCGGTGGCTTAGGGACAGTTCCTGCTTTGCGTGCGCCGGCCGCCTGTAAGCCTGCTTTCACCTGGCCTCAGACATGGGAATGCGCAAGCAGGGACTGCATCTACATGCGGTTAAGCAGCCCCGAACCGAGTCTCGCGAGCAGGATTGCGCGCGCAGAAGCAGTATGCGGTAATGACCAAGCCATGGGGAACCCAGCGAATGCTGCGTGAGTTGATGCATTGCCCATCAGTCAAGACAGCATTCGGTGTGGCCGATGTCCTGCCAGTTTTCGATGTAGCTGCATGCCGCCCAGCCCGCCGACCTGAGGCGCAGGGACGCGGGAGATGCTGAGAGGCCCTGAGTCCCATCTAGGCGCTGGGTGACGATAAGCTCTAGCCCACCACGGCCGTGTGTGAATCATTTGCGACGTGTAGCTGGGCGATCGCTCTTCCTAACGACTTCCTTAACCCATTCAGACTTCCTCCTACAGTTCCTGCAGGGCTCGCGGCTCAACTTGCCTTTCCGCTAGACCTGGAGCGGGCTGTGACGTCGATCTCCGCCCATAGCGCGTCCGCAGCCAAGACGCGGTGCGCTTCAAGATAAGTCGTGTGTCTCCGTCCCCATCGCGCCTTCGCGCCTTCCCAACAACACCTCTGGCATCGGCATGCCTTTCTTCTCGGCTCCCCAGGCCTTGCGCCTGCGCAGCCCTCCCACTTACTCCTCGGATTTCGTCGCCATGGCCTCTCAGTCGTACGAGTACGGCGACAATGGCATGTTCAATGTCTTCAAGAGCAACAAGCACAGTGCGCATCCCGACTTCGCCAACCTCACCCTGCTCGTCTTCGAGGCTGTCATGGAGGTTGTCTGCGTCAGCGCGCCTGGCTACATTGTCGCGCGAATGGGCCAATTCGACGCCGAGAGCCAGAAGTTCCTCGCCAACCTCAACACGCAGCTGTTTACACCCTGCCTTAGTAAGTCACTACCTCCGATAACGATGACGCGAGTTTGCGTCAGTCACACCTTCATAGACTATATTCATGGGGTACTTCTCAAGCTCTACATTAGCTATGGAGAGACTGCAGAGTACCTTTGAATCACACGGGTCTGTTTGCGGGTGCAACGCGAGAACGAGCTTCTCCATAACCTCCAAACCTCAGCTAACCACATCCAGTCTTTACCAAGCTCGCATCGCAACTGACGGCCGAAAAGCTGGCTGATCTAGCCGTCATCCCCGTAATCTTCATCGTACAGACACTTATATCCTACCTTGCCGCGCTCATCGTATCGAAAGTATGCAGGTTCAACAAACGGGCCTCCAACTTTGTGGTCGCCATGGCGGTATGTCATGTTCCTCAACCAGGCAAACAACACAAACTGACGTTCTCAGGTCTTCGGAAACTCAAACTCGCTTCCAATCTCCCTCGTCATCTCCCTCTCCAAAACACTGTCCGGTCTGCACTGGGACAAGGTTCCAGGCGACAACGACAACGATGTCGGCGCGCGCGGTATCCTCTACCTACTCATCTTCCAACAACTCGGCCAGCTCGTGCGATGGACATGGGGCTTCAACGTGCTCCTAGCGCCAGCCAGCTCCTACAAAGACGAAGATGGCGGCAAGAACAGCGCCATCGAGAACGGAGAGTACAGCGATGACGAGGCGCAACGTCTCCTCGATGACTCGCACTCTGACTACGAATCTGGCAACGTCACCAGCTATGCTACCTCCGCTGACTCCGACGAGTCCGACTCAGACTCTCTGTTCAACCGCGACGCTCAGGCAGAGACCGACTTCATCACACCCACCAACGGCAACGCAACTGTCCCGGGCCAAGGCGACATGAGCGGAAGCAGCAACGGCTATGCCAACGGTCATCTCAACGGTGTTCTCGAGGCGCACAAGAAGAAGCAGAATGCCCCCAAAGGCATCAAGGGAATGCCAAAGCGTGCCGGCATGGCATTGAAGCGCTCTGCCAGCACCGTTTCCGTCTCTACAACTCGCGCTGGAAACAGAGTCTTCAACGCTCTCCCCACATGGCTCCAGGGACCTCTTGCCAAGATTGGCCATGTCTTGTCGAGGTTCTTCAAGGGCGTCTGGGACTTTATGAACCCTCCCCTCTGGGCTATGCTGATCGCCATCCTTGTTGCCTCTATCCCTCCGCTACAACACCTCTTCTTCGACCCAGGAACATTCGTCAGCAACTCCGTGACGCGCGCCGTCAACCAGAGCGGACAAGTCGCTGTCCCCCTGATCTTGGTCGTCTTGGGTGCCAACCTTGCCCGGAACACTCTACCCAAGGAGGACCAGCACTCGATGGAAGACCCAAGTGTTGAGAAGAAGCTTGTCATTGCCTCCCTCGTCAGTCGCATGCTTATCCCGACGCTTCTCATGGCACCTATGCTTGCTTTAACCGCCAAGTATGTGCCTGTCAGTATTCTCGACGACCCGATCTTCATCATCGTTTGCTTCCTACTCAGCGGTGCGCCGAGCGCGCTGCAGCTGGCACAGATCTGCCAGATCAACAACGTGTACATGGGTGCCATGTCGAGGATTTTGTTCCAGAGCTACGTTGTCTGGATCCTGCCGTCGACTCTTCTTCTGGTCATGCTTGCACTGGAGACAGTGGAATGGGCCAAATGAGTCACGTGTGCGTTGAAGTGTTAGTGCTTGGAAGGACGCAGCGCACCCTCCTGTGTTGCGACATGTAATTGGGTTTCAAAGCGAGGCGTTCTGGTAACTGGGAATGGGTTTGGTAGTTGCATTGATTGGGACATGGCAGAGAACTGCAATGAAAAGCAGTTTGTATATACACTTTTAACGTTGTCCCGGTGTTTGGAGGTTGTCGGAGGATGGTCTCTTCTTTGAACCGATCAGATCTTTCGTATCTTGGCTACGCTGAAGTACCGCGATCCGAGAGGTCTGATCGGTTCAAGGACGCGTCCATTCTACGACAACCTCTAAGTACTGTTGAGCACCTGAAAACAATTCGCAAGGGAAGGCGATCATCCGTCAACCTCTACAATTCGCCACAGCACCGTCGTGTCCAAGTTTCTGGCGTACCAAAACCTGACGTAGACTGCCAAGGCTGCGAACTGGAATTTCGGAGGCCGATAGCTATGGGTGGGTGGGGGAGGCGGAGGGGAGGCGGAGGGGAGGTGGTGGATGTCTCGCTGGTTGATGGCGAGTCTGATACAGCGACGTCTCTAGTGTGATAAGAAACGCACCTTGCCCAAGTGACATATAGGGCATGATTTTTGGGTTTGGGGATATACCAGTGTGACCAACTTCTGTAGTACTTGATGTCTACTATTACAGTGCCTAAAGGTGATTTGCTACATAGCGTTCAACGCCTCCGTGTCTAGGTTCCATTGCAGGTTTCTGGCGTACCAAACCCTGACGTAGACTGCCAAGACTGGCCTCGGAGACCGATGGCTGCCCAATAGCTCTGAAGATAGCGTAGGGACCATCAACACACCACGCTGCCGTCTGTTCCAGCTATGATGATACTCTACCTCTAAACTGTCTATTTCTATCAAGATCTGGTTATAGACGCCTCGAGACTTTTCATATTCCTCTTCACCTCGTCTTCTCCCACCAGCGATCCTTACCGCCAATCAGCTTGGCACGTGGACCCTGAGCTCGCGTGTACTTTCTGGCGTTCCTGCCGCACTAGGTATCGATAACACCGCCCACCAAACAACCCGCCGTTCCTACCCACCAAGTAGGGCACGTTTATTTCGAGGCCTCACTACAGCACCTTCGGACCCGTCTGGGGAGCTACATATTACCACGCGGTCGATCCTGCTTACTTCACTTCCGCACACCAGGCTGCACATTCTAGGCAATCGCCATGGCGGATTCCTCCAATGAGCAGTCGCGGCCCAGCGTCCCCCACCGAAGCGACTCGTCTGCCCTCTCGCAGAACGCTACTCCAGTGGATGGCGCGTCGCCGCGGTCTATCAAAGGTCAGTTCTTGCTCGTTCTCTTATTGTTTGTCTTGCAAGCTCTGGCGATGAATTCATATCACTTTTTGGAATCGTGATTCTACCAGCGAGGTAGCTGTAGACCATCGTGACTCCGCAGTGACTAACAACTCTCTTGCTCAAACGCTGAGTCGAATCTCAAATACTACGCAAGCTATCTGGCTATGGCTTAGCTATGTGCATGTAGCAAAACGAGGGACTGCTATGTCCGAGACCAATGAACAAGATGTATAGCTGATACACTGTCATCTTACCTACCAAGTGCTTAACGAACAACTGCTAACCATGCGCTCGCAGTTGTGTCCTTTCCCGACGACACTGCCATCTCTCCATTGATGATCGGGAAGAACAAAGAACTTGACCAGAGGGATTACTTGGATCTCGACAGACCTGCAAAACACTACCCCGCAAGTGTCAGTAGAAAGAAACTATCTGGACGGCCCTCAGTCGAGCGTCTGTCATCAACTCCCAGAGGAGTACCGGCTGAGGGTAACCCATCTTTGTCTTCTCTGCTTTCGGACAGCTCAACCGATGCTCCTCATGGGCAGCATGCGCATGAAAACCTGTTGAAGCAGGTGGGCACATGGCTCAAGCACGAGCGAAGCCGACGTCATGCACGAAGGGCGAAACGCAAAGCCGCCAAAGAGGGCGCTGTCCAGGAAACGACATCGACTGTTGCTGATGAGACGACTGAAGAGCCCATCGCGCTTACTAGGACCAGCTCTTCATCGTCCCACGGTGAAGACTCTCTCGACCAACTGGCGCACATCCTCGAGAAGACTCTAGCTATGAAGCCAGCCGACGCTAAAAAGAGGATGCAACACTTCCGTAGGTCCTCTACGGGCTTGAAGCGACACTCCGCCATTTCCCTCGACACCGACTATTTCGAGTCCGTAGACCAGCTGGTCCCGAGTTGCGAGGCCATCTTGGATAATTCGAAGACTATGGCGTACAACGTGGACGAGTCAGATGCCGAATCGGCCCCACAACTATCTGACAAAGAAGCACGCAAGGAGAGAGAGGCGTGGACCAAGTTTCGAGCTGAAATCCTCCGTCTGGCTCATACTCTGAAGCTCAAGGGATGGCGCAAGGTGTCGATGGAGCAGAGTAATGAGATTGATGTGCAGAGGCTGAGTGGCGCATTGACAAATGCTGTTTACGTTGTCTCGCCTCCCAAGAATCTGCAACTTCAAGAGCAGGGTGAAGATGGTCAGCCTAAGCCAAAGAACCCTCCTCCGTAAGTCATCTTGAACGTAAGCGAAACAAGCCTGACACTTTCTAGTAAGCTTCTGCTACGCATCTACGGTCCTCAGGTGGAACATCTGATCGACCGGGAGTCTGAACTACAGATCCTCACACGCCTCGCTCGAAAGCGAATTGGTCCGCGTCTGCTTGGTACCTTCACCAACGGTCGCTTCGAGGAGTTCCTCCATGCAAAGCCGTTGACCGCGAAGGAACTGCGCAACGCAGAGACTTCAAAGCAGATCGCAAAGCGTATGCGAGAGCTGCATGAGGGCATTGATCTTCTTAAGGAAGAGCGAGAAGCTGGCCCATTCGTATGGCAAAACTGGGATAAGTGGGTTGACCGTTGTGAGCAGATTGTCACCTGGTTAGACGACCGGGTGCGCGAGAGCAAGCAAGACCCTGCGCTAGGCCCTGGCGACAAGTGGAAGAAGCGAGGTTACGTATGTGGTATGGAGTGGCCAGTATTCAGGCAGATGGTTGAGAAGTACAGGAGGTGGTTGGAGGAACAGTACGGTGGTGCAGACAAGATCAACGAGCGCATGATCTTTGCCCACAACGACGTAGGCCATTTTACTCTACAGAAGGATCCTGAGCTGACCCTGTGTAGACCCAGTATGGTAACATCCTGCGTATGGTGCCAGAGGGCGAGTCGCCCCTACTGCTTCCTGCGAACCAGCACAAGCAGCTAGTGGTTATCGACTTCGAGTACGCAAATGCGAACCTTCCGGGTCTGGAGTTTGCCAACCACTTCGTAAGATATTCCCGTTCATCCCTTCGATCCTTCACTACTCCTCACACATTTGAGGCCTGTACTGACCAAAAGCTAGACCGAATGGACATACAACTACCACGATGCCGATGTACCGTGGAGGTGTAACACCAAGTACTACCCAACCGTCGAGGAGCAGCACCGCTTCATCCGAGCATACCTGATGCACAACCCCTCCTACAAAGCAGCTGGAGGCTACACATCCAACCCTGCTACCCCCCACCTAGGCCCTCTCCCCTCCTCAGGAAGTACAACCGCCCTAGCAGCGACCGCCGCACCCAGCAACATCTCCGCCTTCATGCTCGACTCGCGCGCTCCACCCGGCTCCCAGTACCAAGAGCAAGAAGCCGCTGCAGAGCGCCAAATCGAAGAAGAAACCCGTCGCCTCCTCGCCGAAACCAAGCTCTGGCGCCTCGCCAACTCAGCCATGTGGGTAGCTTGGGGCATAGTCCAGGCTCACGTCCCCGGTCTGCCCGACTTCGACGCTTTGGATAAACAAGCAAACGCAGACGCAAATGCATCTGCCAACCCCAGCGGCGCAGCCGCCGAACTAGACAGCGCGACAGCAGAGATACGCGCCGAGGCGGGGGCCGAAGGAGGAGCAGAAGAGAAGTCGGGGGCAGGGATCGTGAGTGAAAAGACAGCGACGGAGGAAGGGGCCACGCAAGGAAACATGACGCAAGCGGAACAGGATGCTGACCTTTTCAAACCACAGGATGAAGAGGAGTTTGATTACCTCGCGTATGCTAATGATCGCGCCATGTTTGTTTGGGGCGATGCGATGCGTATGGGTATTGTGAGCCCGGAGGAGGTGCCTGAGGAGTTGAGGAGTAGGGCTAAGGTTGTGGAGTACTGAGGTGGCGGAATGAGAGGGCCGAGTTGATTGCGGCTCGGGACGAAGGATATCTTCTGTACAGTGAGCAACGCGTGTCGAGACCAGAGAGTCTTGGGAGCTTTTGCAAGGGGATGCAAGTGTGTGTAGCTCAAAGGCTCCCTACTGCATATATTCCCTAAAGCACGAATGTCCATGTATGATAGCAAATGAAAAATGACAAAAAAAAACCCCCAGTCGGAAAAGATCGTCGAGAAAATCGTGAGATTTATATGAACAATGATTCATGACTCCAACACAGAGTTGCTCACACTGGTATATACCCAAACGCCAAAACACCAAATCCAACCTATTTCGACCCACCAAAATCAGATTCACACACCCAAGTCATCTCAGCTCGTGTCCATAGCATCTTCATCCTCATCCCCTTCTTGTATCCCTTCAAGCCCCTCCTCCTCTTCCTGCTGCTCTTCCCTCTGCCCTCTCCTGTTATCACGCCCTCCCCTATCCATCGCCTCAACGAGTCCCTCCAATCCTCTTACTTCTTCACTCCCCACCCTACTCCCCCCGTCCCAAACCCCTTCAACCCCATCCTTCGTATCCACGCCCCTCCTCTCCAACACCCGTTTACTCTGACTCTCAACGTAGATTTTGCGTTCGCGTGTTAATTCCTCCTTATCTTTTGGCGGCTGTTGTTGTGCGTTGGAGGCGGAGTAGGAGGGAGGGGAAGAAGTGTTGCTGGGTAAAGCGGTGTTTGCTAAATGCGGTTTTAGGCTTGCGAGGAGTTGGCGGAGGTAGGGGAGTTGGGTTGTTGTGAAGGTGGTGTGGGTTGTTAAGGGTGTGTGGGTGGGTTTTGTGTCGTTGTTGCTGTTCTTCTCGGAATTCTTCTCTCCATTTGCGTTTGTGTGAGGTAGCGATTGTATGCCTATTTCCTTCGCAGCAGGCGCGTGGGTTAGGAAGGCGAACGGCGCTGCTTGTCCATCTTGCTCATTATCTCCTCCTGTCGAAGTAAGGGACTCGCGTTTCGGCAAAGTAGACGGTGTGAGAAGGGCGCGTAACCGTGCTATTTGTGTCTCGTTGCGCGTTTTCTCAGCGAGGAGAGCGGCGTTTAACTTTTGCGTTTCGATGAGTTTGCGGCGGAGGGTGTAGAGGGCTTCTGGGGTGAGGGTCGAGTTTTTAGAGGGCGGTTCGAGGTTCTAGTTCGTGTCAGTCATGTTCGTCGTGTGAATTTCGTCCATTCTGCCCTTTCACTGCCTCCAAATACCACCGTCCATAATCGTCTCATCGAACATACCTCATAATGCCCCAACCGCACCCACTCCGCGAGCCCCTCATCCTGGCCCTTCCCCCTACCCAACGCAAAAACATTCCTCAGTGTCCAAATCTCCAGTTTATCAAAGTTCTTGTCCACAGCGTTTTCCATGAGCGTTTCTAGCTTCAGCACCCCTTCCTCAATCTCCAACCGCGCTTCTGGGTATACATCGTTTCCGTCTTCGTCTTTGGCCGGTGTGCGGTTTTGCGAGGCGTAGAGGTCGGCGAAACCGAGGAGGGAGGGGTCGGCGGAGGAGAGACCGGTTTCGAAGGAGTCGGTGCAGCGGTAGAGGACTTCGTTTATGGCGTTTATTATGTCGTCGATTAGGGACTAGGATCGATGTTAGTTGTTGGATTGATCTATAAGAGCCGGGGTAGCGGAGGTAGTGGATCAATGTGCAGAGAGTGGTCTTGGAGGCATTGCAGACACCATCCCCAGCCCATCCACTCCATCTTCCCCCCCGTCCCCTCCCACCACCACCACCCTCCTCTACCCATCACCCAAGAATCATACGTACAATAGGAGGCCAAGTAAAGTGCTCAGTAAGCAGCATATTCTCCTGCTGCTTTGCGCTCGCCATCTTGTTGTTTCGTCGTAGCGTCGTTGTCGTTGTCGCAAATGCGTTCAGCACCACCCGTTGTTTGCGACACGCGCGCGCCGAGGGACGTGTTTACTGCGGGCCCGCCGCTCCGGGATCTGACTGGACGGAAGACAAGGGTCGAAGGGCTCGCGCTAGTGGGGTCGCGTAATTTGCTTGTTTGGGATGCGCGCTGTGAGGGTCATGTGGATGGGGTGTGCGTCCGCGGAGTTGTGATTTCTGTCTTGTGGTTTGCTTTCCCTTGATGTCATAACTGGAGATGCTGTGAGTAGGTCACGACATCACCAGCAGAACAAGTCCTCACACCAAAACAGTCATTCAATCAAAGATGAGATACCTTCCATAAAGTGCAGCCTATTTAGCCACACAACTACATCCATACACCCAAGCACGGCGGCTTGAAAATCCCAAATTATACAAGCGTACAGCACGACTCCATATCGTCCATACTGGAAAGCTAGTTTGCTTTGTCTCTTTCTCTGTCTCTCTCGCTCTGGTAAAGGTAGATGCATATCCACCACCTCCACCACCTTAACAACATCCACCTGGCTAGGACATACCATTCTTCTTCTCCTCTTCCTCTCTCGCACTCACTCATGCCGCACGCAGCACTCGCAGTCGAAAATCGCAAGGCAAACAGATAATACTTTTCTCCCATAATCGGCTCGAAAGCACACTCAGAAGAAGAAAGCCAAAAAACACACAAGAGGAGGATAGTTTGGTGTAATCCAAATATAACACAATAAAAACGCCAATCAAGAACCAGACAGACAGAGTAACAAAGAGACTAGTTCTGAACCCTTTCTCTCTCTCTCTCTCTGTTTCTCGGTGTTTCTCCATGCGTTCATGTCGCTGTCGTAAATGCAGTAGATGTGAAGCCAGTCAAAAAGAAAAGGGAACAATACCACCCACCCGCCCGTCAACCCAATTATCGTACTGTTTGCTTGCTGCTCATGCCCGTGAATCCTATAAAAAAGCGCGGCGGAGCTGGGTAATCTGTTAATCTATACAAAGACACATGTCCGTCGAATCCATCTAGACGGGACAATGTGTGTGTCGGTCAAGTTTGGCAGATTCGCTCAATACGCTCGCGATTGTTGATCACGGAACCTCCGCTCTTCTTCCTGGCGGCGGGCCTTCTTCTCCCGCTCTAGACGGATCTTGTGCGCTTCCGTTCCGTCGTCCATGAGGGACTCTTTGAACCAGGGGTGTTGCAGTGCTTCCTTGGCTGTTATCCGTTTCTTGGGGTCGTAGACGAATATCCGCCGGAGGAGGTCGAGGAATTGACGGTTGAAATCGGTGTGGGCTGGTATTGTTTCCTGGGAAAGGTTAGTCGACTATCAAACGAACAGTGTGACGTGTGGCGACGTACGGGAAGCTTCTTCATCGCCTTGACGTATTTCTTCGAGGCTTTGTTCGTGTCTGCGTTGGGGTAGTCGAGCTTGTAGTTCTTGAAGTATCGTGCAGCACTGAGAATGTTAGCAATGTCGTGAAGATGGTATCGTGTCTACTTACGAGCTCGATGAGTTGCGTGATGAACCGCGGTCTTGCTTGTAGACCGCTCGCACAATATCTCGATCAATCTTGCCACTGCAGACAGCCTCCATCATCGCCAGATGCTCGAGGTTGTCATGCGTTTGGAAGAGGGCGTCGCCAGTAAAGAATTCGACCAGGATACATCCTATACTCCAGATATCGCAAGGGAAACTCCAGCCCAAGTTGAGAATAATCTCAGGTGCTCGGTAGTGTCGAGTCGAGACTACCGAGGAGTGGTATTCATCGTTGAAGGTCGCTGATCCAAAGTCGATGAGGCGGATCTCAGGATCAAGGAGGACCTTGCGATGCCGCGCTGTCCGGTTCACTGTTGTTGACGATGACGGTACAGTCCTATTGTACGTAAAAGTCTGGTAATTGTTGTTGACAAGCAGGATGTTCTCCGGTTTCAGATCGGTGTGGATGAGGTTGAGGTCGTGGAGGAAAGCAACGCTGGTGAAGAGCTGTTTCGCGAACTTCTGGATGTGAGAGCTGGGGAATGGGACAAAGCCGTTCGACTTGAGGAAGTCAAACACACTTTGTCCGTAGAGATCTGTGACGATGCAGATGTGGTTTCGGAAGTCGAAGCAATCTCGTAGATGAATGCACCGGTTGATGTTGTGCTTGTCGTTGGATGCCAGTGTTGACAGTACCCGCAGTTCGATCCGGCTGGCATCTCGGTATTTGGGCACTGATCGAATGACCTTGATGGCGCAATTTGTGCCTTTCCGTCTGTCGTAGGCTTGGACGACTTTGCCAAAGGTGCCCTGGCCGAGCAGTTTTGTGATCTGGTCTGATGTCCTTTGTCAGTATTGTCCTTCGGGGTATTGATCGAAGAGACCTACATCTCTCTGTGAGGTCGGCCTCTGGTACTACAATGTAGTGGCCGTCGTCGTCATCTACCTTTTGGTCCTTTGTATACGACTTCTGGAGTGTGTCAGTTCGGGTCCTGGAAGAGGAGGCGTGGATCGGGTCTTACATCTGGGACAACCTGTACGTAGACGTCCTTCGCCTTGATCACCGGGTTGGGCGGCGGCTGGTACAGGCTGAAGGGGTCGTCATTGTCCAGTTCCCGTCTTTTGGCCTGCTTTGCTTCATCCTGCACCACGGCGCGTGTGCGCTTGCGCTTCTGGCCCGCTGCGCTGTTGTCGAGAGGCGAGATGTGGTGGCCGTTGCTGACCTGCGAGCCTAATGACGTCGGCGCCGTGGTGTTGAGCGCAGAGGTAGTGCGGTCGGTGGACAGTGAGTGGTTGGGAGAGTCGTAGTAGGGTGTTTGGGTGGTGGAGTAGGACGTGTGCTGGTTGTAGACGGGGTCGTATGCCGTGGATGCGGTCGTCTTGCGCTTCTTGTCTGTGTGGCGCGCAGTCGGGTTTGTCGCGGTGCGTGACGAGGGCGCGTGGTTGCGAGGCGGAGGCAGCTGGGGTTCATCGTCGTCGTCGTCGTCAATAACAATGACCTCCTTCGGGATGCCGTTCCTGTAGAAGTCGGCCCAGTCGGGGTGCCGCCGCCGGTGGGCGGAGCCCGGGTCGTTCGCGCTCATGTCGATGGGCGGGGCCTGGGAGATGGGCGGCAGCTGGGGCGGGTGTCGTGTGTGGGCAGTCGCGTTTCGGCGAAGGTCTGAACTGGAGGAAGCGCTAGCGTAGCCGTTGTAGAGCGAGTTGCCTATCCGAGCGCCGCCGTTGGCGATCTGGGCATTGGCGATGCTGGGCTGGTACGTCTGGTGGTGAGAATAAAACTGGTGATGGGGCGGGAGTGTGGCCGTGGCGGTCGAGGGCGTCGACATGGCTGGGTGCGTCGCTGGGGGTGCGAGAGCCGACGTCGTGACGCTACTCGTCTGCACAGGCAAGCGGACCAAGCACGTCGGTGAGGCGGCCAAACGGCGCGACGGGGGCGCCGAATTGGGGGAGCGTCGTCGTCGGGATGCTCAGTCGGCGCTTTTGCGTGCTGGGACGCTTTGTCGCAGCCAGCGGAGGCGTTATCGCAGGCCTGGGCAGGTGGATGGTGCTGCGGAGGTGCTGGAGCCGCGGCTGGAGGCAGTGCCGGGGCGGGCTACGAGGCGACTGAGGGCGATGGGGGTGCACGCTGGGAAGAATGGCGGGCGTCGGACATGCCAGAGAGGTGGTGAAGCGTTGATGTCGCCGGGTGGAAGCAGGCGAGGTTGAGATCACACTTGTTGCGGAGTCTGTGGTGAGAACCGGCCTGTGCGGTCCACATGGAGCGTCATTCGTTCAATCTTCTCGCGGCACGCCAGCGACGTCTCTCTTTCGCGTCTCGCGCCGAACTCTGCCTTGTCCTAATTCTGCCGCCCAAGACTCGACACTGCTCTATGGCACTCTATTTGATGGCAATAATCCCGCAGCGCTTGTCTTCTGCTGCTGCTAGATGTCGGCACCCAGATCATGTGCCTGCAGCGCGTTTGGCGACAGCCCGCCTGGTGAAAGAGAAAAGCCGCCCGAAGCCCATTAATATGTCTTCGGTCGCTTGCAAAAGAGGGTGGCACGCCGTCTCCACTCGACCTGTCTGGATCCCCTCGAACTCAAACACTTACCAATATCAAACATTAATCATCAACTATTTATCAACTCCATTGCAGTCATGTTCTACACCCATCAGATGCATCGCTCCTTCCATCCCGCCCTCGATACTGCCCAGGTGCTGAACCGCGCCCAGACCACCACCCTCCGTCGCAGACATCTGACTGAAACCGCTGCACAAGACTTGCACCCAACAATCAAAGGACCTCCGTAATACTAATCCCTACACCGCGTGCGGCTCTAGCACCCATTCCCCATCAAACAAAGCCCTTGTGTGACCGCTCTGCAAAGTGAAGCAACACGCCCGTGGTCACGAGAAAGACCAAGACAATGATCTGCGATGCTGCCCGGGCACGCACCTACAAATGTCATCTGGTTACTGTGGTAGTAGTCGTCGAGCCTCTACCAGCGTACGTGACGAGCGCCCCGAGAGACATGATGGCATGGCAACAACCCCGATCCCGTTTCTCGACACTTTTGTTGTGATCAAAGTTCGAGGTGTTCAGGGTCCATCCTGATTTGGCTATTTCCGCGATGCCGCTTTCTAGATGCACATTCCCGGTTCTTCGCGAAGCTGGGATAATCACTCCAAGGCTACATACAAGGCGCGGTCCCTGCCGCACGTGGAACTGCACTTGCTTCTGTTCACGGGTTGCTTCTTTATCGTGACGCAATATTCCTCCTATTCTACTCCCACCTATCTCACCTTCACATCTCCCGCACACGCCCGAAACGCTGATGTGAGCCTTCTCTCACCCGCGGTTGGTACCGCTCGCTTGGATCGCTCTTGCCTATCCACTGGCTTGGCTGATGGAAGGTTCGATGCACGCTGCACTCCGCTTCGAAGGATAACGTCATGGCCCCCCAACGTTTTCCCCACCCCTACACTACAATTTGTAGTCGAAGACGAATGACCGGAGTGATTGCGATGCACTGCCTCCGGCTATGTCACTGCGGATGAATAATGCAACAGGTTCTGGAAGATTGGTGCCGCTTGCGCCGTCCTGGTGATTTAACCGCCAAGGCGGAGTCGTGACCTGATGGGTGGCCTGTGCGCGGCACGGATGTATGGCTGCGGACTTTCAACGCTTGTCTGGCGGATATGTGGGTGTGGTGAGAATATGTTTTGCGAAGATGCACGTTACCTACTTCTTTATCGTTGTTGACAAAGAAGAACGTGTTGCTGTTGCTGTGTGTTGTATGGGTATGGCAGTGAAACGAGATATATCCCGAACGCAGTACAACATCTTCGAAAGTCTCTATGTCCCGTCATAAAGGGATTTATATTCTGCGTGGCATGTCCAATACGCATTACACATGTTGTCATGATATAGACAAGTGCTGAATTCTTGTCATATACTACTTAGCTCGTGTAAAACACAGACCATGATCAATACATGAACGTAAACATGTATCAGGACTATAATAGGTCAAGGAAAGTAGGAACAAAACATAGGTGTCTAACATAAAAATGCTCTTTTGGTCTATAGCCTAATAGCCGTTTCCAGTGCAATGAATGATTCAGACAGCAGCCCCAATGCAGTTTTGCACATGAAATTGACAGAGTCGCGAAAGAATGCCAGTTTCAAAAAGCCGATCCCGGAAAACACTTCATGGAGCCGCCGCGCATATGCTGAGCACAAAAGCCTTCCGTGCAATGAAAAGAGAGAACTCAAGGAAAATCGTTATCGTTCGTTGCCGAGGAAGTACGGTCGGATAGCGGTCTTCGCACAACGGGTCAAGACAGTGCGACGTCGATGTTTACAACTTGGGCGTGATGCTGAGCTCCTCGAAGAAATCGACAATGGTCTTACTGACGCGCTCCACAATGAACTCGACGTCGTCATCGGTGACGTTGTATGCAGGGGCGATGATGATGTGGTCGCCGCGAATGCCGTCAACCGTTCCGGAACCTGGGTACACATATACATTGTACCCATCTTTCAGCCCTGCAGAAATGGTTAGTGATGAAACGATCATTCCGACCAGATGAACTTACCAAGCTCATGTACCCTCCAGGTCACTGCGACTTCCGGATCAAAAGCCGCCTTGGTGAGCTTGTCTTGCACAAACTCAATCTGTCGTTGTTAGTAGTTGCACTACGACTACCAGGTGGTGTTCAGACTTACCCCTATGAAGAGACCCTTTCCTCGGATGTCGAACACATTGGGATGATCGCCCAATTGAGCTTGTAGCTTCTGCATGAGCTTCTCCCCTTTGTCGCGAACATTTTCCAGAAGATTATCCTGTTGAACAATCTCTTGAACTGCGAGACCAGCAGCGCAAGCAGTCGGGAAGTTCTGGAACGTATGGCCATGGGCAAAGGCGTTGTCTCCCATCGCATCCACAATGGTTGGTCCGACCAGCATCGCGGAAAGGGCTGCATAGCCGCCTGCGATACCCTTGCCTACCAATTGGATATCTGGAACGACGTCCTCTTCTTGCCATGCATGCATATAGCCGGTGCGACCCATGCCGCACATGACCTCATCCAGAATCAAAAGTACGCCGTATTTCTTGCATACTCGCTTCATCGCTCTAAGGTAGCCGGGTAGTGCGGGGACGCAACCAAGTGCCTGTAGCCATGTGTTAGTCACCAACGAACGAAGAAACAGAGTCAAACCAACATACCGCGCCAACGACCGGCTCCATCACGAAGCCTGCTACTGTATCAGGACCGAGATCAAGGATCTTACGCTCCAACTCATCTGCGAGTCGCTCGACATATTGAGCTACTGATTCTCCCTTCTTCATATCGCGGCTAGGATTACAAGGAGATACGAACTGCGTCTTCTCAGGCAAAATCGGTAAGTAAATCTCTTTGCGGCCTTTGTGTCCACTGGTTTCGAGAGCACCAAGAGTCGCTCCGTGGTAAGAACGATCGCGAGCAATGAACCAGCTGCGTTGAGGTTGCGGATTCGGCTTCAGCTTGGAGTGATATTGGTAGGCTAGCTTTTGTGACGCCTCGTTAGCTTCAGAACCTGATATCTGTCAGCTTGGTTTCGGGCGTGAAGTTTGGATTATCTTACCAGACCCATAGAATACCACTTCTTTCAGCTTGTCATCGGTTGATTCAAGAAGAAAGTCTGCGAAATCTTCCACTACTTCGGTGTGAAAACTCATCGATGCGGCATACCCAACTCCAGACTCTTGTTGCCTCCTTACTGCCTCAAACACTCTTTCATCCCTATGACCAATGTTTGATACAGCGGCACCTCCAGATGCGTCAAAGATCTTCCAGGCCTTCTCTCCATCTACCACCGACAGCCAGTTGCCCGAAGCGCTTTCCAGAAACAACGGAGGACCTCTTGCACTGCGTTTGAGTAAAGGACTACCAAGATGATCGCGACCTCGGCGGGCTCGACGGCTGCGAGAAGTGACGAGCGCAGGAGCTGAATCCATCGATCCAAGTGAGACGCTGCTCTGAGATGCGGGACTAGAACTGCCGCTATCGTCAATCAACAAAGCTGGTGCCATTGTTGCTAGATGGATTTTGGTAACAGTAAGTAATAGTCAGAGTTGTGTGGAGGAAGGGGAAGGATTGATATAGGAAACGGTGTGTGCAGTGTCGAATGTATTCGCACAATGCCTTGAGAGACTGGAAACGCAGGTGAATGATGGGTGACTTTATAGTCGATTGATAGTAGCGTGAGCTAACCACGATGCGTATGGTAACCCGACCGGTGAGGCGTCCTCTTGGAGTGGAGCGTTTGTGGTGTAATCAGGCTCAGGGTCACTAGAACCACACTTTGATTCTCGGCAGATCATCTTCAGCCCTGAATTCGGGCCGTTCGGGGAACCTAAAATCGTGGAGACCAGTGCAAGAAACAACGCCGGCTGAGAACTGGCTCCCAGCTGGATAGATATGTACGTAGGATGCGGTGAAAGGATTCTAGGCTTATTCATTCTTGTGGAGTGTTAACGGTCAATCGCTTACTTTGTTAGCCAATCAGCGCAGACTGTGGCTGTTTTACCGGATTTTGCTTGCTATCGAGATGATAAAAGGACGGTCAGCCGGACGTGATAGGAAGACGCATCGTGTAAGACCAGGGGCCAATGTCGCCTCGATGTCAGGGCAAAAACCAGAAATACCCCTAGATAGTCATCCTTGCATATGCTGCGCGGCGTAAAATGATCCAGGAGACGGGGACGGTTGTTAGCTGGGCCAACGCGAGTCGTGCGTGCATAGCCCGTCCTTGTCGGTTGCTAAATCGCATCTCACCTTGGAAGGCTGGCACACGTATGCAATGCAGGACTGACAACGCCTCGTTTTAGCGGCTCACGAACGGCTGCGACGCATGCATCATTGCCACATGGTAGAAGTGGAGTATAGAAATACGCCGGGGTTTGGGATCGACGAGGCCACTGCGGCCGCATGCAATCCAATGCCAGGAAGATCGGATCGGGTTTTAGCCGTCCATGTTGTGTAACCGAACCTAGTGTATAGAATCCAAGAGCTCATTTTTAGTTAGTGACGGCATTGAACACGAAGGGAGGATCGCGAATTCTGTCAGAAGCAAGAAGACATGGTACCGCAGGCGTAGTATCGCGAACACCGGCGTATTATACGGGCCAGAAGCCTTGAAGGTCGGTATGTTGGTACTCCTTCGATTGCGTAGACATGGCCTGACGTGGTTTCCTGTGATGTCTAGACTGATCTTTTGTCCTGCCTGGCTCGATATGTGAACTACAGTATTGTAGACCAGGACACAAGGATGTGCTGGAGGTAACGACTCAACTCACACGCTGATGCCTACTGCAGGTGATGGCTTGGCCAACCACATCCATGCGACCCAGCCGCGTTTCATCGTACTGGCTCGATGCGAGGAATGGTATGTCGACGCTTCAATGGCCGGGCACACGCGGTCCAGCTGCCACAATCGATTGACTGCAGATGTTGGCACTAGTGCGGAGGTATGCAATGAGGTAGACAGTAAACGTAGACGCCAAGTCAGGTGCCACGATAGCGATATGGGAGGTACTTTCCCGACGGAGCGGGCTTGACGTGGTGGCGCGGGGTGATTACGGTCAGACCCCTGCGAATAGCGGCAGGCCGTTCGCTGGGTCCCAAGACGTCACCTGACGAGTCTGGAGGCCGCAAGTTGCGGTGAAAGAGAGAGTTAGCTCAGTGTTCGGAGGTGGTGCTAGAGCGCTGAAGTTGTCCGTCGGGACGAGAGCAGTTGCCCGGGCCGTGATGCGGAGCTGGAAGAAAAGCGCCGAAGCGCCGACCCGAGTCGGAAGCGCCTGCCTCTTCCATAGCCAAGCCCCGCGTTTAGCTTCCCCCACATCCTTCCAGACGTGCAGGTGGCCTTCACGACATTGCGATAATTCTATCGTACCGGAGAAGGCGAGGTAAGTGACGGCCCGAGGAACACTGGCATTGCACGCAATCTGACGCCCACATAGGACCGACCGGAAGGCACGATGAATCCACGCGTCGAAGAAGTCAGCGACTCGGACAGCGACCCGTCAGAGATGGGCATCGACGATGTACCCGCTCTGATGAACGCGAATAATATACCCAGCACGGGCAACAAGTCCATGCCGACACCAGCGCAGATGCAGGCGCTCCAATCGCAGATGCTGCAGCCGCAATCGCCCTCGATGACGACATCTACGGACCGAGAAAAGTCCAAGCACTACCAGTGTTTATACCCCATATACTTTGACAGGTTACGGACAAGGGCTGAAGGGCGTCGCGTGGGCAAGGAGCTTGCGGTGGAGAACCCTCTAGCACGGGAGATGGCCGACGCTGCTGCCGACCTGGGCCTCCGGACTGTCTTTGAGCCTGACAAGACTCACCCCAAAGACTGGGCCAATCCTGGCAGAGTGCGCGTCCTTCTCAAGCACCAAGGAAAATTGATGGACGACGATGTGAAGAACAAGCATCATCTCTACATCCTCATCGCACAGGCCCTGAAAGCCAACCCGACACAGAAGAACACACCTTTCAGATTACCCATCGCGGGCCTACCTATGCCCAAGGAGATGCCGGAGCCAGCGATACCAAAGGGCTGGAAGATGAGCAAGATCCTCCCTCTACATTCACCTGCTCTAACGGGCGGTGGTGTCAGTGAGAACTTCCTACAGGATATGATGGGGGAGATGATGGGCGGCGAGGCAGGCAGCGGCGCAAGCAGCGGGACAGAATCGAAGAAAAAGATCAAGGACAAAAAGAAGAAGTAAACCAGCATCCTGGACCATCGCCATCGATGCGTCAGCGCTTACTTCGCCTAAATTAAACGCCAATAGTCCGGCAAATGTCACACAACCTGCGCCGCAGCCATGCATGGTGGAGGCTGTCGTCACATCCTACATGTCACTCCACCGCGCGCTTAGATACCATCCCGACATGAGCGACCAACGTCTCTTGTCGTGGAACCAGCGAATCAACACCATCTACAATCATACAGCAATGCCTCTTCGCTCAGTCCTAGTCGCCTTTGCGTGGCACTAACGCCTGCATTGCTTACATCTCCTGCGCTGCTCTTACATACATCATTCGTCTAGAATTTCTTTTTCGGCCTTCTGTCGACACGCGACTTGATCTGATTCGACATTTCATCAATATGCACACCGCTGCTTCAAAAGCTGTGTGCATTCTGCACATGGAAACCTCCTTGCAGCACTATGTACCACTAGCTGCTGCATGTCCGCTATCGAATACTCCGACCGGCATGCGAAGTCCCGGTTCCCACGCCACTTGACAACAATTTTCCGCGTGATACCCTGCGTCTGATTATCTATTCTTACATAGCATGGCCACCTCATCGTGCTTCCTGGCTGCGCAGACGGATGTTCAAATACTACATCATACTTGGTATACTTCTGCGTCATGTATGCATGCGGTTCAGTTCACGTGAGTGGCCCGCTACCCAGAACCGAGCCCCATTAGCTCACCGTTCAAGCTTTCAGCCTCGAAGTCAGTGACAGCCCCGCGGGCCGAGCAACGTCTCTCGGAGAACAGTTGGTCTGCATATACCCTTGCACCCACACTACTTACTTCTCACCGGTAACGCGCCTCATTCGTCCGTTTCTTTTATTTTCTATGGCCTTGCATTCTTAGTCTGCTCGCTACTCCACCAGCTGCCCACCTCGCGTTTCTCGTATGGGACGTCAGACTTGGAATTGTTGGGCCAGGGGGGTACGTTGGTCTCGAGTGGTCGTGTTTACCGAGCCTCAGCCATGCAACCACTAGGTCGGGCCACACACATAACGTACATGTATGCGAATGCGACACACGATTTTGCAAGGCATCCAACTAAGCTGCAGCTAATGAGTATGTGCTCGTCGAACTCAGCCGTCCTGTCGTATACACGGCTGAACTTTCCCGATCAGCAGCTCGCCACAATTCGAATCAGGTTACGTATGGAATAGCAGGTGCGCTTTACAATGGAAAGTCTACACCGATTGGAGCTCACTCGGACACCACCAACTGTGGCAGATTCTAGTTACATGACAAGGCCCAGTCTGGTAGTGCCTGTAGGTGGTGTCTTGCGCGCATTCAGCCTACCGCGATGGAGTGCCATCATACAACCGTGTGTTGAAGGAGCCCTGCATTCCAGCCCGCTCGTCTAGCCTCTAGGTGAGCGTCTTGTGTTTGACTCGCATGTCGACTAAATCACCTTACAAGCTATCGTTTGTAGCGCCACTCGGTGTAATTGCCCAGCTGTTGGGTACACTGCATTACACCTACTATCCAATCTAGACAACGGAAAAATTGTCAGCGTAACACAGCATGAACAGCATGCGAACAGCCTCTCCAATAGCCAAATACCAAAAGAGGCACGTGAGTGGTCCGGGAAAAATAGCCGCAGCCAGTACACATCAGCACACATGCCAACATCGGTGTAAATGGGAACATTGAACTACCTGTTTATAGTCGCCACCGAAATGTCAGAGCCAATCATGGCCGATCAGGTTTAAAACATTCATCCATACCCACTGAGAAAGGGACGCAACCACCGGCCCGCCAGGTAAATGCAAAGGTGCCGTCCGCGTCTGAGGGTGTGCTTCCGGGCTAAGCGATGTCGAGCAGCTGCCGTTCTCCGAGCAGCTTGCGCGAATCGCCGAGTCACCTTCACAGTAGCTTGTATACACCCATCGCCAATATGTCATTGCTAGATGTATATCGACGGCAAGTGACGGGAACGCAGCTACATTGGTACCTACGCTTCATGAGCCTGCAAGATTGTTCGATTCGGCTTTCAACTTGTCTGTAGTTGTTACTCATATCTTATCACAATGATAACTACGTCTTACTAACACCACACAATGACACAGAATCTGTGTTGAACATCACAAGTTACCTAGAAAATATTTCTAGGTTGGACTCTGCATTGCGATCAAAGCTGTGTACCTGCTGAGGTTTAGTGGTGTGCATGCAACAAAGTGCGATACAGAATCTATGCTCCGCTACGCCTACCAAACTAGTAATCTAGCAAGCTGAGCGAACCGCGACCTGTCTTCACGATCACGAGAGCCGAGATGATGGCACGCCGGCTGAAAAGGGACATCGGGTATGCACCCAGGCCGATGATAGCTTTCGCGCTATATTATGCAGTCTTCTAGGGAAGAGTGACGGTCGAGGCCTGAAAGCCTACGACGACAAGCTGAGCTTGAAGATCAAGAAGATCACCGTTCTTAAGCAGGAGTGACGGGACTTTGAACAGTCGGGTAAAGTCTACATTACCTTGAAGCAACACACGCAACTCTTATAGCTTCGGGGAGGGCACTTCGGTCATTGGCATGCTTCAACGGGTTTTGCATATATGCTTTGCTACACTGCAACTTTCGCTAAAGATATTCATATCAGCGACACGAGAACATACGACAACCAGGTAGAGATGGTGCGGATGATATGCGAAGCGTTAGCCCTTCGAAACCGACTTTAGGGAAGTAAGCATGGACCTCGACTAAAAAGCATCAGAGCGCATGTTGCATAAAGCATCGGCCCACGATACTCAGATCGCCTTTTAGTGCCATGAGGTCCGCAATCCGTCCGGGTGACACAGACATGGACCTCATCTGCGAAGATTTAACTCGCGTAGCTTACGAAAGATCGTCCTTCCCGGGGACACTGCCAGCCTAAAAATCGCTACCGGAGCCATCAGAACCCGGAACCGACTTGAAGATGAAGGTATGCTGGTAAGAGTCAAAGCGTATGGCGTACCAAACACCGCACGGTACTCCCTCATGCATGTATTGCCGACTGTCAGGATACTCGTCGGTACCCATCCATAGCTCCTCTCAGCTTCCATCCAAACCCAGATGTTCCACTTCATCTGATCAACGAACCTCCTCGTCTTAACCCTACTTATCGCACCTTGAATCCGATGCCCATTTCTCCCGCCTCAACATACACGTTCGCGATAAACCGGCCTCATAAAGTCTTCTTCGTCCTTGCAGTAGTATGTGGGAGTAAGGCCTGTTGGTGTTATGTTGATGGAGATGTTGGTTTCCAGGTTTTCGTACTTCAGTAAGAGTTCGCACATTTAAGGGTTGATATGTTCAGGTAGAAATTGAGATCAGGAGCGGTAGCAATGAGCGATATGCACTATTACATACTCACGGTGTGCGCGCTCCTATCATGGTACTGCATTGCGGTGATGAGCCACTTACAGCTGCAGCCTTCTAAACGACGACGAAACGAGAAAAGTTCTTCGATGAGCTGGGGACAAGATACAAGTTCGCAGTCGAAGCCCATTTTTACATCTGACTCATGGCTCAGATGGAGAGCGATACCTAAGTGCTGAAGTCTTTCTCGCAATGAAGATAAAGTGCGCTTTTGACACTATATAGGGCCTGGTCTTGTTTAAGGCTGTTTATTGAGACGGTACTTTCTTTGATGTTGTTCGCTGGTGAAGTCGTTTCTGCCTGCTACCCAGGCCGTGGCGCTCGGTCCGCTCTGCTCGATCTCTGACCCACTTCTTGCAAAGACCAATTTGAAGTCCAGGCCTACCTGATGGGGTTCTTCCATGTGCATAGAAGCAAACATACCTACGTTACCTGCGAACACCCGGTTCGGCTGTGGGTATCTGACATGATTCGGGCCTAATACAGAGGCAGCAAGGCTTAGCTCACGTTCACCTCGACAACCTTCTGATGACGAATGCCAATAGTGCAAGCTCTATCCCGGGCCTATAGAACACGACAGGCAAAACAGTCGCGGGCGGCTAAGGACGGAAGCGCATGAATTGTTGAGGTGTCACGGTCTAAGCCACATGGCGGCGGCATCTGGGGTTGTGTTCCTGGCACGCCTGAGCAAACAAGGACAGGGGTGCGGGGTTACCATAACAACGCCCGAAGAAACAACACCACTGCATGCGCCTCCGCCGCATCACTGCTGGGGAAAGTAACTATTACACCCTTTTTGAACACATCCATATCGCATTGTTGCCCATTGCAATCACTTCTCGAGTGTCACGAATAGCGACGACACTTTTCTATACCCAATCTGAATTTTCGCGACGCATACACATAATGGACGGGTCCACACCACACAGTGGTTCACACTATGGACGGCCACCTGCATATGACTATGATGACGGATCCCCTCAGCAACTACAGGGAGGATCAACCATGCGTTTATTGACAAACGTGGACGAGGACCAAAGTTACGAACAGAGCTACATGCCGTGAGTATTTGTCTCACTCTTTTCCCCCCATCCACTTGCGTCCCGCATACGGACCCAATCTCATTCCCCACCAGAAGATCGTCTTTCGAGGACACTTCAAACATGTCGAATGCCAACAGCAACACGGCTGAACTGGGCGAGCGCATGACCATGTCTGAGGTTGGCAAGCAAAAGGCTGCCGAGGCGGACATTCACGACTTCCTGCGCGAGGCCGGCGATGCGCTGAGTTCGACGTCGAGCGCGGCAGCAATGCCTACGCAGATGCCGCGACGGAAGACGATCAAGTCGCAGTTCGACACGACGCCCTACAAGACCGTTCGGTTACAAGACCCAGACTTACCATTACTTTCTTCCCGCAGACCTCCATCGCCAGTATCGCGATCATATCACCCCACAAATTCCTCAGTATCCGGCTTATCACGGACGCCGTCAGTGATGGATACCGCGCCAAACATGCCGCCGCCGGGAGAAGACCCATACGTACCCTACCGACGGCCGCTATCACCCGACCGACCATATTCACCCACGCGCACATCAGCCGACTACTCG